AGGCAGAAACCCTCCTAACATTTAAGAAGTATTGCAATGCCAAGGTCAAGTGCTGGAAAATGAAATTAGAATAGTTAGTTTTGACCAACATGGACACAATGGGCTGAAGGGCTATTTTTTCTGTGCTGTAGATCTCTATGACTGTAATTATGGCCTCAGCACTGATTCCTCTGACACTCCATCAGTTACAAGTTGCACCTCTTATCTGACTTTGTCTTCTATCAGTTAGCCAATCGTCTATCCATGGCCACATTCACCGAATTGTATCCCTCTGACTGCGTTGCAGACGAAACCATCACCATTCTTGGGAATGTCCTGTCCCACTGGCAGGGCAGACTCTCCAGATGTGATTGTGCAGTGGTGGTGTACAGTTAGAATAGAGTCTTTCTGGAATTATCAACATTGACTCTGGACCCTATGAAGCCTCATGGCAACAAGTTAGGGCAAGGAAACCTCTTGCTAAGACTGATGTATTTCTCCATGCTGAACACTAGTTGAAAGAAGCACTGAGGTTGAGAAAGACACAGATTGTATCCAGCATGGGGAAACATCATAGAACATAGAACATAGAACATTACAGCGCAGTACAGGCCCTTCGGCCCTCGATGTTGCACCGACCTGTGAAACCAATCTGAAGCCCTTCTAACCTAAACTATTCCATTATCATCCATATGTTTATCCAATGACCATTTAAATGCCCTTAAAGTTGGCGAGTCTACTACTTTTGCAGGCAAGGCATTCCACGCCCTTACTACTCTCTGAGTAAAGAACCTACCTCTGACATCTGTCCTATATCTATCACCCCTCAATTTAAAGCTATGTCCCCTCGTGCTAGCCACCACCATCCGAGGAAAAAGGCTCCCACTGTCCACCCTATCTAATCCTCTGATCATCTTGTACGTTTCTATTAAGTCAAATACTAAGAGAAGCATGGTATCACAACTACGGCCCAAATGGCTTAAAGGACATAGTTGCTGGACTAAGCCAATGAAAGACAGTGATAGTGAACAAACTACTTGACCACATCATGACTAATATGGTCAGTATTTGGTAGGAGTGATTACCACACAGTCTATGAGGGTAAAGTGGTGGCTTTGCACTCAGGATATCCTTCATTGCATGGGGTGCACAACCACAGTTATACTGAGATATTGAAATGCTCATATCAGTATGCAGCAAGACCTGGACAATATCCAGGCTTGAACGGATATATGGCAAACATTTGCATCACGTTGGTGCCATGTATTGACTATCTCCCTTTTGACATTCAAATGTACTACTATTGCTGAAATCCCCCAGTCATGCTGTTCCTATTGACCAGAAACTGAGCTAGACCAGCCATATATAAGAGCATGTTGGAAGCTGGAAATTCTGTGATGCTTAAGTTACTTCTGGCTTCCCCAAGCTCAATCCAGCATCTATAATGCATGTGTCAGGCATGTGACAGAATGCTCTCCACTTTCCCGGCTAAGTGAGGCTCTGATGACACTCAAGAAATTCAACATCATCTCAGAGAAAGTAGCCTGCTTGTTTGGCACACCATCCACTACCATAAATATTCACTCCCTCTCCTGTGATTGCATGGCGTGTACCAAATATTAGGTGCACTTCAGCAATTTACCAAACTAATTTAACAGAATCTCCCAGACCCAAAATCTCTGACAGCTGGAATGACAATGGCAATGGAAATACCATCATTTACAAGTTGCCATCCAGGCCTGTTTCTTTGCACTCGTTGTGACAAAATCCTGGAACTCCCTTCCAGACCACATGAACTAGAGCATTTCAAGAAAACATCTCACCACTTTCTTAAGGGCCATCATGAATGGACATGAAATGTCAGCCTTTCCAGTGATGCCCACATTTTTTCTCAACTTTTCATAAAGAACAGTTATCATTGCACTCCAAAACCAATGCATGGTTTGAGAAACATGACCCCAATCTTTATTTATTTCTGTAATGGTTTATTTTATTGTATGAAGATATTTTGCTTCTGTTAATGATACGACAAATACTTTATCCTACAATTGAAAAGAATACATTTAAACAAACACACCACTTGCAAGTGTCACTTCTCCCATGTCAGCTGTTTATTAGTGATGTTGAAATATGTTTTCCTAGAGTTTATTTACTATAATAATGCTTTATTATCTTTTTTCATGAAGTTGGCGTGTACTCAGATTGATTTTGTTCAGAGAATGTAATATGTTCCAGGTTATGTAATATGTGTAAGCATATAATTTTTCATTCTATGAAGTAATATAGTTTATTCAATATGTAGATTGACAACAGGCTCAGGATAATTCTAGATATATGGATTTAGATTGAAATTGTATCTGCATGGCTCAGTAGTGACACTTTTGCTGCTGACACAGAGATTATGGGTTGAAGCCTTACTCCAGGTCTAAGCACACAATCCAGGTTAACATAGAAACATAGAAACAGAGAGGATAGGAGCAGGAGGAGGCCATTCAGCCCTTCGAGCCTGCTCCGCCATTCTTCACGATCATGGCTGATCATCCAACTCAACAGCCTAATCCTGCTTTCTCCCCATAACCTTTGATCCCATTTGCCCCAGTTGCTGTAGCTATTCACCTCTGGACTACATTCAATGTTTTGGCATCAACTACTTCCTGTGGTAATGAATTCCAAAGGCTCACCACTCTTTGGGTGAAGAAATGTCTCCTCATCTCCATCCTAAATCATCCACCCCGAATCCTTATACTTTGACTGCTGGTTCAGGACACACCCACCATCAGGAACATCCTCCCTACATCTACCCTAATGATCCCTGTTAGAATTTTATAAGTCTCTATCAGAAACCCCTCTCATTTGTCTGAACTCAAGTGAAAAAAATCCGAACCTATTCAATCTCTCCTCATATGTCAGACCTGCCATCCCCGGAATCAGCCTGGTAAACCTTTGCTGCACTCCTTCGAGAGCAACAGCATCCTTCTTCAGAAAAGGAGACCAAAACTGCACACAATATTCCAGATGTGGTCTCACCAAGGCCCTGTATAACTGCAACAACACATCCCTGCTACTGTACTCGAAACCTCTCGCAGTGAAGGCCAACATAACATTTACCTTCTTTACCACCTGCTGCACCTGCATGCTTATCTTCAGTGACTGGTGCACAAGGACACCCAGGTCCCTCTGCACACTCCCCTCTCCCAATTTACAGCCATTCAGTTAGTAATCTGCCTTCTTGTTTTTGCTTCTGAAGTGAATAACCTCACATTTGTCCAAATTATCCTGCATCTGCCATTGATCTGCTCACTCACCCAACCTGTCGAGATCATGCTGAAGGATCTCTGTATCCTCGTCACAGTCCACCCTCCCATCTAACTTGGTGTCATCTACAAACTTGGAGATGTTATATTTTGTTCCTTCATCCAATCATTAATATATATTGTGAATAGCTGGGGTCCCAGCACCGATCCCTGTGCACCCCACTAGTTACTGCCTGCCAATTTGAAACATACCCATTAATTCCTACTCTTTCTTTCCTCTCTGCCAATAAGTTTCCTATCCATCTCAATACACTTCCCTCAATCCCATGCGCTTTAATATTGCACAATAATCTCTTATGTGCGACCCTATCAAACGCTTTTTGAAAGTCCAAATATACCACATTGACTGGTTAGTGTAGATTACTAGTGTAGTACTGAGAGATGTTACATAGTTTGAGGTGTTAACATTCTTAGATGGATTGTTAAACCAAAACACTATATGGCTGTTCAATCATTTTTTTTCAAAATAGAAGGGTTTCCCAATGTTCTGGACAACAATATCAAACCAGATTAATTGGTGATTCATCTCAATGCTTTTTGTTTTGGTTTGCTCTGTAAAAACTGTGACCACACTTCTTTAGCCAATGAATTACATCTGGAGATATACTGAGGACATCATAAATATTATGCAAGTATAAATTCTTCATTTCTTTGGATGTGAGGGTGGGGCTGATATTGGGCACAAAGCATCAGCACAAAGAAATAAGACATTAATTTTTACTAATGATCTATTGTGAACTGTTGAATATTTGGTTCCCCTACTCCTCCAGATACAACTGAATTGCCAATAACTGTAGAATCAACTTTGCTGACTTATTCATAACTAACAACATGCATCTTGTGTTTTCTTCAAATGTGTGTGGCCCATGTCGCTTCTCTGTCATACTGTTCTCAATTAGCATTATTCAGCATATAAGCAAACTACAGTAACTTCTTTGAGAAGAATTTGTTTGTATGATTTTGAGCAAACTATTAATTTGAACATTCCAGTTCTTCTGGTGAATAATGGCTACATCTAAGCACTGTTTTTACTTACTGACCTCCTGAATGGCCTTACTAGTTTATTAAACACTGCATTAGTATCAAAGTAATTAGTAAAAAGCTAGATTTATTTTACTTTTACTGACATACTGCAGAACTGATTGGTTCAAACTTGACCATTAAAAGAATTCTTGGATTCCGAAACTAAGACCATTAACCGTCTAGATGATCCTTACATTTAAAGAATGGGTTTTGGAATTACTGAAAATGTTGCAACACTTTTTGGCAAAGATTTAAAATGTAAGCATTGAATTCGAAAGTACAGGGAATCCTTGATTTATAATGTCTGCAGTACGAATGTTCATAAATATGACAGCGATCCCATACTCGGGTTGGAGGTGGGGGTGGTATTTTTAAGAATCCAATGAATGAACATTTCTTGTACTTACAAATGGCTGCTTTATATCATGCTGCATTTTGTTCCAACTTGTGAACAAACTGACTTAGGAACAGACAACAGAACAGAACCTGTTCCCAACCTGGATGTTGCCTGTAAACATTTTCCCCTTGTGTGTTGAAAAAAACAAGCTATAGTTTTCCTCTCCAAACACACCATTATTTTGCCGTATGCTCGAGTTGTCATTGAGTGCAAGTGATAATATAATGCTCAATCAAGAGGTTTGGCAGAGTTAAGACTGACAAAATAAACAGACTCACAAAACACTCTTCAGGTTTTGATTTCTGTTTTCATTTTAGAGCCAGACAAACACTAAACAGAGACTTTAATCTTTAAAACCTGTCAACTTTACATTTAGCAAGCAGTCGTACTGTTGCTCCATACAAAACAACTACAAACTGACAGGTATGTACAAAAATCAACAAATAAACAATTTCAGGATGCCAAAAAGTATTAATCAAATGCATATGATACAGTTAATGAAGACAAAACTTCCATTAAATAGAATACTGCTACATGCAACTTGCTGAAAATTGTTGTTTGATTAAAGGTGACCATTGCTAACAATATAAGTTTCATGAAAAAGCAATGACTAACAAATGTCATTTGCTGAATTTTTAAATGTGTCAGAACAGCCTGGATTTGAGTTACAGCACGCAGTAAAATAGCACTATTAAAGTCAAATGAGCAGCTGGGTGGATAATGTAAATGAAATTTTGGCAATGATTCAGTTCAGAGACATAATAGCCAGTATAAATTTACAATCTGCATTAACCATGCTTTAAAAATGTGTGCACCTGATAATACCAACACTGCAAACATTTACACTTCAATGGGTAAAATGCCTTTCATCAAAATATTGCAGGCGCTCACAATGATGAGACAATAGTGCTGGAAAATGGATTGTCTTCTGTTCTGTATATGTACTATATATCAAGTGAAGTATAATACAGGAATAATGAAGAGCTGAAATTATAGTCATGAAGATGTCAATATTACAATTTTAATAATGTTTTCACCTCTATCTGTCAGATTCTGTAATGATTATGAATTGTATCCCAAAAGGATTTAGGAAAGAGATTTATGATCTACATTTGTTACTCTTTTGAGGACCAATTGTTGGGATGTTAACTTAAAATGCAAATTTATTATTTTATTCCTGTTGTGGTTGAAATCGTACAAAAAAAAAGACATTTGATTGGGTCAACTCTATCCTAGGTCCAGCACATTATCTCAACCATAACACTAAAATGGTACAATGAAAAGTATCATAGCATTACAAATAGATTCACTAGAGTATAAGAATGATTATCTGTTTTATTGCAAATAATGTTATGAAATTGGCATACACAGATTGTATTTTTACATTGATCAGATCAAAATTATAAGATAAAAATGATTTAATAAAGAATTCTAAGGGAAAGGAACACTTTTTGAATTGCAAAGTGGATGATTAAACTGATATAAATGCTAATAATCACTGATTTAGTTAACTGTGGGAACAATTTCAGCTACATTCCTATATCCTGTAGAATCACAGAAATGCTTATGCTTTCATGTCAGATTCACCAATTTTAGTGCAACAGTGTCACAGCAGATTCCTTGTCACCATTGCATGCAAAAGCTTATTTATAAATATGATTGCATTCAAGTATCATGTTACTTACCCCATAGCATTTTTGGATAAATGAGGGAGCCATATTTACTAAGTAAAAATATTAATTATTTACAAGTTCTCTACACGAAATAAGTATTTTGAAATTGCAACTATTTAAAATGTGTCTGTAAAGGGATAAAAATTTCCATTCACACATTACATTTTGATAGTTGAGATGTAATATTCTGCTAAAAGAAAACATCTTCAATATCTTTGTCTTGTGCTGAATAATATTAAATTTTCAGTTTTTCTTTGCTGAGGATTTACTGAGATTAGATACGCCCATTTCACACTAACATCAATTTGAACTCTTTATAGGTGTTAAATTAGAGGAGTCAAAATCTTCCTTGTAGAATAACCAATCAATTTTGCTAATTATATGGCAGATGGAGCAAAATATATAATGAATTATGATTTTGCTGAATCTAGTGTCCAGTCAAAATAATGCTCCATTGTCTGATGGCACTACTTTTTATTCTACATCATAAGTTGTAATGTTAAATATTTCTGTTATTTAGAAACCTTCTGTGATATTAAATGAACCAAGCTAAAAGATTTTTTAAAAAATTGGTCAAGTAAAGAAATACCATTTTTAAATATAGTTCAATTTTAAAATTAACAAAAAATACTGGCTAAAACATTGTAAATTCAAGGATGGTACCAGATATTTTTGTCATTAAACTTATGATATCATTATAAATTCTTTTGCCAACACTAAAAAGTTTTGAATTCATATTAACATTTTTGTTTTTTGTGCAAGAAAAATACAGACATGGAATATGTTTATGAATTTACGTATACTTTTGGATTCCTACAATTTTTCCATTTTAGTTTTCAAGTGTTTGTCATCTTGGTTACAGTTAAGCCCATTTCTTTTGAAGTAATTGGCAGGTCAGGAAATAGTTTGGTCAAATAATTAAATGGCAATTCATTTTATTTTCCTTTTCAGGTTGGTTTAAGAAATTTCAATTACTGGTACTTAAAAGAATGGATTCAAACTCTCACATCTGTTTAGTTACTGTTTTCAAAATATGTGAACTTAACTTATATTTAATTGTGGAAAATGGTTTCATTTTATAAAAATAGGGATTTATGACTGGGGGAAAAAGTACCTGTGCAGTGCCTATAATTCACTAAAATTGTAGGCATGATTTTCTGAAGTTGTTTTCTAAAATGTAAAAGCCAATAATGCACCATCAACAGTTCCATGCACCCCTAAGGTATTTCCCAGGTTTCTACAGTTAAGGTGTTATTAAACAATTAAAACTTGTGTCTTAGCAGAAAAAGTCATCATTTTATGACTAGTTATGGTATTGTTGAACCATTGATCTTGTAATATGAATCCGTGCAGGGTCTGCAATTCTGGTGACTTGTTCACTTTCCTAGCGTGGTGTGCAGTTTGTATCTGTCATACACCCAAAGGCTTTGTTATTGAGGGAATAAAGAAGTGCAGGGTTAGATAAGTTGGTAATCAATGTCTATGTAATTGGTCAAATAACCTATTACCTTTTGGCCTCATATTTAAGAGCAATAACGATAACAATGATCAAACACTGTCACATTCCTTTCCTACGGCATTAAGTCTAAAAATTTTCATAATATCTATAAAATGTAAAGCTGCATGATCCCACAATTTTCTTTATTTTTTTTTTATTTTTCAAAATTAAAAGTGTGACCAGAAATAGTGAACAAACATAGTACATGAATGAAACCAGAGACAGCATAAATTGTCATTGTGGTATCGTCTACATTTCAGTTTCTTTAGTTCAATACTTTTACTTATGCCTATATCTTTGCATATAATTCAAATATGTTTCACCAAATAAATATTAACATTCAAAAATATTCTCTGATTACACAACTACAGTATTGTAAAATTTGTTCTCCAGGTTTAGTGCTCAAGCTGCTGAATAGCCATGTTAGTTTGAGCATGAGCCTGCCTGGGAACAGAGTTCTTAATTGACAGATCTTTAAAGAAAATATCATAAAAATCCCTTTATTGTATTAATTAAATTGAATTAGAAGCTTTGAAAGTTCAAAACATCTAGGGAATAATGAAGGAATTAAAAATTCACTGTCAGATATCATCATATGAATGCCTAACATTCATCTCAAATTCCTTTGCTGCTGAATAAAGGCATAAGCCTACACAAATGATGAAGCACAAAGGAAGTTGATATCCTGCAGAGGTATCAACATTTTCTGAGTTACATTACTCTCCGCATAATGTGAGTGAAGAATACAGGAAACCAGAAAGAATACAGGAAAGAATATAGGAAAACTGTCCCTTCAAAAACTCTTGCCTGACCTCATAAGAAAAACCCAAGTGGTTTTTCCAAGTTATTGAATTTGAGTCTTCATGTTATTAATGCGAGATTTTCTGTTTAGCTCTAATAAATAAGAATGGGTTGAAAGCTATATTCCAATTGCCTTGTGGAAGCAAAAACTACAACTCAAAAAACCTCTTAAAATAGTATTTTAGAAATGTTTGAAAGTGCATCAATAAATTCAAAAGCCTGATAATGACAGAAATCTAAAAAAAATTGAAGCTTAATTCATAAATAGTATGAACATCACAAAGTGTGAACATTTAGACATGATAAAAATATGACCATATAGGGAAGATTAATGTTCAACCTGGAAATAAAGATAGACATGCCATCAGCACTGATGTCCCCTCTCTCTATTTCCCATCATCTTTCCAACAAAGCTGTCTGCAGTGGAAGAGAGCAATAATATATGGTATGTGGAATATAACTTTATTTCAATAACGTTTCTTACTAAGCCAAAATCAAAATTATGTCAACCGTACATGCCATGGTGACCTTACATGGAACAGGAAGAAATCTTGGTAAGAGCAGAGTTCATTGCATCGTGGCCAAATTAATTTCTCTGGCTTTTCAAAGTTATCTTTATGCTTTTCATTGACAGGATCAATGAGAAATAATAGGTCAAATTAGACAGCATTGTGTTGCTTGAATACCATGAATGTGCCAAGATGAGAAACAGAAACAACGCTCTCTTCTATGTTATGTGGAACCAATGGCAGTCACAGGTTGATTATGAATGCGTGTGGGAAGATGACATAACTAGATGGCAAGATGCTACTTTCATCAACACTGAGCTTTGGCACAGATAACTGTAAATTGTAGTTTTTGGTTTTACTTAGCACTTCTTGATTAAGAAATTTTGAAGGACTCCATTTGCATCTTTGGGATATAGAATTATCCTAAATATAAAAATATTTCTTGTGATAAAATTTGAACCAGTTCTGTCAGTGACAACGTTCTGGTCTTGAGTATCACATAATTTTTATTGTGATCAAAGTAATAAGCTTCAGAACTTCTGAACTATGTCATCATTTCTCATAAAAACCTTGTAATCTCAATCCGTCTCTCTCTCCCTGTCTCACATATGCTCCATTTTGCAATTTGCTTCCAGTAATTGTGTGGATGTCACCATGGGATGATATGAATTTGAATTCGGATCATCAGGATAAGCATTGAGTGAAAAGTTGACCCAATAAACCCAAACGTGTACTCGTCCAATTTCCATGCAAGGCATTTCAAAGGAAGTATCACTGATGCAAAATAAAAGAACAGTACTGCTCCTTTATTCTTATTGACTAACTCAGGAGCAGAGATATCAATTGCAGCATGCCTAATACCTCTCCAACAAAAGTTTGGCAACTCAGTACAGAATCAGAAGAGACTTGCACCTTGACCTGATATGCATTAAGACTCAGTTTAATGTTGCTTTATAAAAGGAACTTTTGAGGCACTATGTTACCAATTTATTAATATGATGCTGTACAATCAATAAAATTTTACACATAAAATGCTGTGTATTTCAACGATTTTGATAAAAGAGAGAATTTAAAAAGCAAACTATGATATTTCTTGAACATTAATATAGTCTGATTAAACATGATTTTATAACCTGGGGATTGATTATAAATTGCAAGGAAGAGTGGCCATCAACAAGGTGACAAGGCTAGTTATTAACTTATGAGTATCTTGTACTGAAAATTCAATAAAAGCTGAACAACACTGATAAGAGACTTTGTACAACAAGGATACTGTTCAAATGTTATGGTTACTGGGAATTTGTAATGCCAGTAAGGAGGGAAGTATTTATTCTCAAGTGGCATGTGTTGTATACAGTAGATATTCTCCATATTGTCTCTGGAGAAGGTTGACAAACAGTTGTGTATCTGTTTAAAATGTCAGAAATACAGTCAGTTATTCTCTTTCCATACTTGAAGGGAATCTATGATAAGAAAGAACAGATGTCTGGAGAATTAAGAGGCAAATCAGGAGAATAGCCACCCAATTGCATACAGTTTTGATTATAGAAATGTTACTCTAGGTGGCACTCTTTTAACTTGGCTGTTTTTGAAGATTGAATCTAACCTTTTTCTTTGTCTGATAAATTAGTTCATCGAGATGACATGCACCAAAGCTACGATCCAATTTGCCAAACCTCATTTCTTAACTTGGTGATCATTGCTTTTCTTCTGAGATATCTACATGAAACATTACATCTACTCAATTTTTCTAAATTGAACTGAAAATAAGACTCTTACTGAGAAGGTCCTGCCAGAACATAGCAAAATTTAGGTGGTGCCTTCTATCAGTCAGTGTCATGACACCTTCTTTCCTGAAAATGACCACTGAAATAACTATACAGAGGCTGGTATCCTGTCACCGAGTCACCCTTTATTTACACTAGCACAGTACATGGGCTCTTATCAGCCCGTTCAGAGCTAGTCCTTAGAATGAGGAAACTCTCTGACACTCCTATTTTTATCTGTCAGCTAGGCCTCCCTGATTGGCCCAGGCTAACAACCCTAATAAAGGATCTCATAGTCAATTAATCCACCTGGCCAACTTTGTTCCAATTACCACAGTCACTGTGTAGTCGAATAAGATGTGCCTTTCCATGAGTCAGGATTACATTCCTGCTGAATATAACAGGCCACTATATTCTCAGATAACAAGGTGTACAGCTGGATGAACACAGCAGGCCAAGCAGCATCATAGGAGCAGGAAGGTTGACGTTTCGGGCCTAGACCCTTCATCAGAAATGGTAATCAAAAACATCTGGGCTTTTTACATGAGTATCCTGTTTCTAAGTATGCACTGCCCACAATTGTAATCAGGCAATGATCAGTTTAAATCTCTTATCAGGCAGTATCTAGAAGGATTATAGGACACATCATGCATTCAGTGAACACAATTCACTGATTCTGAATCGCACAAGAAATCATTTTCCCACTTGGAATTATGCAGATTTTGTGGGTTACACATTCCCAAACATATACCAGCACATTGCAATGTGAGCCCTGCAATAACTGTGTTGTAACAATACAGTACAAAAGCTGAAATGGTTCAAGAAACTCAGCAGGTCTAACAAAATCTGTGGGGAGAGAAAGCAGATTTAATTTTTTTTTAAATTTGGTGATTCTTCTTCAGTCACTGCACTCAAAACATTAACTCTGCATTCTCACTACAGATGCTGCCAGACCTGCTGAGCTTTCCCAGCAATTTCTGTTTTTTCTTCTGATTTCCAGTATCTGCAGTTCTTTGTTTTATATTATTGTGACAATATGTACCTGGTATTCAAGTTGTTGGTTTGCTGCTATGCATGTACTTATTTCTTTTAGCTTAAGAAACAGATATTTGTAGTAATTATCATCAAGATAAGGGAATTGGTCTACAAGATAATGCCACAAAAATGTAAATTTTGTATTCTCTTTGTTTCCTTTCAATAGAAGCAACATTAACCAACTGAACCTTAGTGACTGGCTTTAAAAGGGAAAGGTGTTTAGGAGAGCACAGCACTACCATGTTGTTTAATAACACCCCTAATAAAAGCTCTGGATCTGGAATTCATAAACTTGGTCGTTGATATTGATACACGATCCTTTTTTTGTAGCTATTCATATTTAGCTTGAAGGTTGCTAGAAACACAGTTTACTTGATCTGCTGAATTATTGTTGCAAATTTGCATGTTTTGTTTGATTGAGAATTAGGTGTGAATGTTGAGGGCAGATAAATGCAAGATTTAAAATGTCAGTTTGACTTAAAAGTTCTCAAACTAAATTAACACTGACTATTTATCACTAAACACAAAAGCTTGTAAAGTTGATCTCTCATTGTGATTCAGCATCCAATACAAGTGATGATAGTGACAGAAGGAAAGACAAAAAAAGGAGGTTTTCTGATTGGACACAGTAAAGGATGATCATACAATTCACCGAAACAACTACATAAAAACATTGATATCATTCATGCCATATGAAGTATGATGAATAAAGAAATTTAGGGGGTTATGCAGCTTTCAAACTGAAGAGCATAAGCATTTCCATTTAGAGCAGATGCAGAAACTTTACATATTTTGAAAGTTACAAAATACCAGAAA